GTGTCCCCAGTGTCCCTCACCTGCCCCGGGCCCCCCCGGCGGCTGGCTGCCCAGGTTGCCCAGCAGGTGTTTGATCTTGTCCGAGTAGTCCGGCTGCTTGAGCAGCTCCTCGGCCTTGTGGCTGCTGGGGCCGCCCTGCGGGGGCATGGCAGAGAATGAGCAAAGGGGGGAACGGGAGGCAACGGGAAAAGAGGGGAAAATCGGGAGAAAATGGGAAAAGAGGGGAAAAACAGGGGGGAGAAAATGGGAAAAGAGGGGAAAAACGGGGGAGAAATGGGAAAAAGGGGAAAAATGGGGAAAAAATGGGAAAAGAGGGGAAAAATGGGGAAAAAAGGGGAAAAAACGGGGGAGAAACGGGGGAGAAAATGAGAAAAAAAGGGAAAAAATGGGAAAAAAGGGAAAAAACGGGGGAGAAAATGAGAAAAAAGGAGAAAAACGGGGGAGAAAATGGGAAAAAAGGGAAAAAACGGGGGAGAAAATGAGAAAAAAGGAGAAAAACGGGGGAGAAAATGGGAAAAAAGGGAAAAAACGGGGGAGAAAATGAGAAAAAAAGGAAAAAATGGGGAAAAAATGAGAAAAAAAGGAGAAAAATGGGGGAGAAAATGGGAAAAAAGGGGAAAAACAGGGAGAAAATGGGAAAAAAGGGAAAAAACGGGGGAGAAAATGAGAAAAAAAGGGAAAAAAGGGGAAAAAAGGGAAAAAACGGGGGAGAAAATGAGAAAAAAGGAGAAAAACGGGGGAGAAAATGGGAAAAAAGGGAAAAAACGGGGGAGAAAATGAGAAAAAAAGGAAAAAATGGGGAAAAAATGAGAAAAAAAGGAGAAAAATGGGGGAGAAAATGGGAAAAAAGGGGAAAAACGGGGAGAAAATGGGAAAAAAAGGGGAAAAACGGGGGGAAAATGAGAAAAGAGGGGAAAAACGGGGAAAAAAGGGGAAAAACAGGGGAGAAAATGAGAAAAAAGGGGAAAAACGGGGGAGAAAATGGGAAAAGAGGGGAAAAATAGGGAAAAAAGGGGAAAAGAGGGTAAAAACGGGGGGAAAATGAGAAAAACGGGGAAAACCAGAGGGGAAATGGGGAAAAAAAGGAGGAAATGGGGGGAAATGAGAAAAGAGGGGAAAAACAGGAGAGAAAATGAGAAAAAATGGGGAAAAAATGAGAAAAAAATTGGAAAAAATGGGGGGAAATGGGGAAAAAAAAGAGAAAAATGGGGGGAAAACCAGGGGGAAATGGGGGAAAAATGAGAAAAAAAGGCAAAAATGGGGAAAAATGGGGGAAAATGAGGAAAAAAGAACAAAAATCAGGTAAAAATTGGGGAAAACCAGGGATAAACTAGGAGGAAAAAAAAAGAACAAAGGGGGAGAAAAGGGGAAAAAGAAAAATAGGGAAAAAACCACAGTGTGGGAAGGGGAAAATGGGGGTTCCACCCTTTTAAACCCCCCCAGTGTGTGACCCCACAGATTTTGGAGTGATGCAAACTGAGATATCCAAATTTTGGGGGTGATCCCCAAATTTGTGATACCCAAAATTTATGCCCCTCCCTTCCCCAGATTTTGAGGTATCCCAAATTTGAGGTTCAAAGGGCGGGGATGACCCCCAATTTATAACCCCAAATTTGTCACCTCCACAATTGATCTCCTGCATGTTGATGGGGGCGTTTTGGGGGGGTCCTGGGGGTCCCTTGCCGGCCCCGACGCTGCCCATGAGGTTGGCAAGGACGGGGGGCAGCTTGGCCCCCGCCCCCGGCTCCGGGGAGGCCGCGGCGTTCCCGGGATCCAGCCCCTCGGGATAGGCCCCATCCTCGCCCGAGCAGTCCTGGGGGGGCACAAACGGGGGTCAGCAAAGGCCTTTTCAGGGTTTTTTTACTTTTTTTGGTGATTTTTTGGGGTTTTTTTATGGCTTACCTCGTCCAAGGGGATGAGTTTGGGTGGGAGTGGCTCGTAGGATTCCGGGTCGGGCTCGTGGGGGCTGTCGGGAATGCTGAGGGGGTGCAAAAAGCTCAGTGGGTTTCTGGGATCCCAAAGGATTTTTTCAAATTTTATCCCATTTTCCTCCATTTGTGCCCTTTTTCCTAATTTTTTTCTCAATTTTTTTCCCATTTTTTCCGTCTTTTTTTCCCATTTTCGCCTTTTTTTCCCTCATTTTTTTCCCATTTCCCCCCATTTTTGCAGGGGTTTTGCTCTTTTTCCTCATTTTTTTCCCCATTTCCTCCCCATTTTTGCCCTTTTTACTCATTGTTTTCTCACTGTGGGGCCTAATTCTTCCCACATTTTCAGGTTTAGGTTTTCCAGTTCTGCGTGTGCCAGAAATACTGGATTCTCCACAAGCTTGGGTGTCCCTCAAAATGTTCCCCAAATGCACCCAAAGTGTCCCCCAAAAAGGGACAAAGTGATCCCAAAATGGTCGCCCCAAAGAGAGGCTCAAAGTGACAAAAAAAGCACCTAAAATATCCCAAATAATTCCCAAAATAGCACCAAAGTGTTCCTAAAAAGAGAACTCACAGCCTCCCGAAAAAGAGGCTCAAATAATCCCCAAAATGGCCCCCAAATTCCTCACAAAATAGTGCCTAAAGTGGCCCCAAAAACTGCTCCTAAAACAACACTCAAAATGTCCCTAAAAAGGGATTCAAAATGTTCTTAAAATGACCTCCAAAAAGGCCTGAAATGTGCTCCCAAAATGGCCCAAAAAGAGTCTCAAAGTGCTCCCAAAAAGGACTAGAAACTGTCTCCAAAAGTGCCTCCAAAACGTCCCCCAAGGTGTCCTCAGAATGGCCCCCAAAGCCTTCATAAAATGACTTCCAAAGCCCTCACAAAATCAACCCCAAAGTCCTCACAAAAGAGAGCCCAAAGCCCTCACAAAATGGACTCCAAAGTCCTCACAAAAGAGCCCAAAGCCCTCACAAAATCAACCCCAAAGCCCTCACAAAATGGAGCCCAAAGTCCTCACAAAAGGGCCCTCAAAGCCCTCACAAAACGGCCCCCAAAGTGTTCCCAGAACAGCCCCTAAAGCTCTCACGAAATGGAGCCCAAAGCCCTCAGAAAATGGCACCCAAAGCCCTCAGAAAATGGACTCCAAAGTCCTCACAAAATGACACCCAAAACCCTCATAAAACAGCACCAAAAACCCTCACAAAATGACCCCAAAAATCCTCAGAAAAATGGTGCCCAAAACCCTCTAAAACAGCACCAAAAACCCTCACAAAATGACCCCAAAAATCCTCAGAAAAATGGTGCCCAAAACCCTCACAAAACGACCCCCAAAATCCTCAGGAAGTGGTGCCCAAAACCCTCATAAAATGACCCCCAAAATTCTCAGAAAGTGGTGCCCAAAACCCTCACAAATTGACCCCCAAAATCCTCAGAAAATGGTGCCCAAATCCCTCACCAAACGGCCCCCAAATCACCCTCACCACCCCCTGACATTTTGGGCTCCGAACCCCGCCAATCCCCAATTCCCCATCACCAAAAGGAGATCACCCCCCAATTCCCCCCAAATCCTCCCAAAATGGCCCCCGGCTCACCTCTCCTTGGAGAGGAAGATCTCCTGCAGGATGCCCTTGACGCGCTCGGCCTGCGTGAAGCGCTCGCGGCTGCCGCTGCCGGGGATGACGAGCGGCGCCGGCAGCTCCAGGGCCTTGGGGTAGGCCCAGGGCACCTTCTCCTCCATGGAGTCGTGGCTGAGGCGCCGCGCCGTCTCGAAGGCGTGCCGGTCCTTCAGCATCTCCCGCTTGGCCGCCTCGCCAAAGTCCTTGATCTTGTTCACGTTCACTGCAAGGGGGGAAGGTTGGGATCGGTGGGAAGAAACCTTGGATTGTTTTGTTGTGGGGTGGGAATGTTTCAAAATGGCGCCCGAAGGGTTCCCAAAATGGCGCCCAAAGGGTTCCCAAAATGGCGCCCGAAGGGTTCCCAAAATGGCGCCCGAAGGGTTCCCAAAATGGCGCCTGAAGGGTTCCCAAAATGGCGCCCGAAGGGTTTGCAAAATAGCGCCTGAAGGGTTCCCAAAATGGCACCCGAAGGGTTCCCAAAATGGCGTCTGAAGGGTTCGCAAAATGGCGCCTGAAGGGTTCCCAAAATGGCGCCTGAAGGGTTCCCAAAATAGCGCCCAAAGGGTTCCCAAAATGGCGCCCAAAGGGTTCCCAAAATGGCGCCCGAAGGGTTCCCAAAATGGCGCCTGAAGGGTTCCCAAAATGGAATCCAAAGTGACCACAAAAAGGGTTTAAAGTGCCTAGAAAAAGGGACCCAAATTGTCCACAAAATTGTGCCCAAATCGTCCACAAAAAGGGATCCAAAGTTAAAGCAAAATGGCACCCAAAGTGTCCACAAAATGGCGCCCGAAGGGTTTGCAAAATGGAATCCAAAGTGTTCACAGAAAGGGTTTAAAGTGCCTACAAAAAAGGACCCAAATTGTCCACAAAATGGTGCCCAAAGTGTCCACAAAATGGTGCCCAAAGTGTCCCACAAAAACAGACACAAATTGCTCCCAAAAAGGGACCCAAAGCTTCCTGAAATGGTGCCCAAAATATCCACAAAATAGCCCTGAAAATGTCTGCAAAAAGGAACTCAAACTGTCCCTAAAATATACCTAAAATGTCCCTAAAATGGCACCAATTGTTCCCACAAAATGTCCCTGAAATGACCCCAAAATGGCACCAATTGTTCCCACAAAATGTCCCTGAAATGACCCCAAAATGGCACCAAATGTTCCCACAAAATGTCCCCGTAAATAATCTCAAAATGGCGCCCACAGGGTCCCACACAAAAAGGGGCCCAAAGACTCCCACAAAACGGCCCTGGAACGATCCCAAAATGGCCCCAGAGCTCCCTGAAAGGATCCCAGGGTTTTTCCAGGGATTTTGGGGTGAATTTTGGCCGTTTCGGGCTCACCTCGCTCGGTCTCGTCGAGCTCGAAGTAGAAGTACTCGCGCAGCCGCCCCTCCTCGGGCCACGACACCGATTTCTTCTTGCGGGGCCTGCGCGGGGCCGGGCCCCCCTCGGAGGGGACATCGGTGGCCTTGGGGTCACCCCCCGCGTCCGACGAGCCTGAGGGGACAGCGGGGGGGATCAGCAAAGGGGATCCCAAAAACGGGGGGTTTGAGCCCAAAATGGCACCCGGGGAGGGATGAAATGGGGCCTGAAATGGGGCAAAGTGACACCAAAATGGGCAAAGTGACACCAAAATGGGCAAAGTGACACCAAAATGGGGAAAAGTGACACCAAAATGGGGCAAAGTGACACCAAAATGGGGAAAAGTGACACCAAAATGGGGCAAAGTGACACCAAAATGGGGAAAAGTGACACCAAAATGGGGCAAAGTGACACCAAAATGGGCCCTGGGCCATTGGCAGGGAGGGATTCAAAATGGCACCTGATGGTCCCGAAGGAGGGACTCAAAGTGCTCCTAAAATGGCCCCAAATCCCCCAAAAGTGACCCTAAACGGCCCAAATCCACCCAAACCGACTCTAAACCACCCTCAACTCTCCCAAACTCCCCCAGAACACCTGCAAACTGTCCCCAAACCATCCTCAGCCCCACCAAACTGTCCCCAAGCCCACACAAATCAACCCCAACTCCTCCGAACTCTCCCAAACCATCCCAAACTGATTCTAACCAGCCCCAATCCAACCCAAACTGTCCCCAATCCCACCCAAACTCTCCCAAACCATCCCAAACTGACCCCAAACAGTCCAAATCCAACCCAAACTGTTCCCAGTCCCACCCAAACTACCCTAAACCATCCCAAACTGACCCCAAACAGCCCAAATCCGACTCAAACTGTCCCCAATCCCACCCAAACTACCCTAAACCATCCCAAACTGACCCCAAACAGCCCCAATCCCACCCAAACTGTCCCCAACCCCACACAAAGCATCCCCAAACTGTCCCCAATCCACCCTAAACTCTCCCAAACAGACCCAAATCAGCCCAAAGTGTCCCCAGTCCGTACCGGTGTCCATGGGCTCGGGCACCTCGATGGCGGGCACCGGCGTCCCCGGCCGGTCCGTGTCCATGGGCTCCGCGGCCGCCGGCTCTGGGGACGAGGGTTTGGCCGTGCTGGGCTCGGGCGCCGGCTTCCCCTCGAAGGGGCTGGGCTGGGGGGCACAAGGTGGGTCAGAACAGGCTGGTTTTACCCCAAAATGGATCCCAAAGTGTGCCCAAAATGGCTCCCAAAGTGTGCCCAAAATGGCTCCCAAAGTGTGCCCAAAATGGATCCCAAAGTGTGCACAAAATGGATCCCAAAGTGTTACCACAATGGCTTCCAAAGTACACCCAAAATGGCTTCCAAAGTGTGCCCAAAATGGCTTCCAAAGTGTGTCCAAAATGGCTTCCAAAGTGTGCCGAAAATGGCTCTCAAAGTGTCCCCAAAAAGGGAATCAAAGCATACCCAAAAAGGGAATCAAAGCGTACCCAAAATGGCTCCCAAAGTGTGCCCAAAATGGCTCCCAAAGCGTGCCCAAAATGGCTCCCAAAGCGTGCCCAAAATGGCTCCCAAAGTGTCCCCAAAACGGCTCCTAAAGTCTGCCCAGAATGGCGTCTGTAGTGCTCTCAAAATGGCAGCCAAACTGTCCCACAGAAAGGGACAAAATGGCTGCCAAAGAGTGCACCAAAAAGGGACTCAAAGTGTGCCCAAAATGGCCACCAAAAGTCCACAAAATGGCACACAAAGTGCCCCCAAAATGGTCTTCAAGTTCTTCCCAAAACGTCCCCAAAATGTCCCTCAAAATGGCGCCCAAACCGGCATCCTAAATGGTCCCTAAAAAGCCCCACAATGTCCCCAAAAAAGAATAAAATGTGCCCAAAATGGCTCCCAAAGTGTGCCCAAAATGGCTCCCAAAGCATGCCCAAAATGGCTCCCAAAGTGTGCCCAAAAAGGGAATTAAAGCGTACCCAAAATGGCGCCCAAAGTGTGCCCAAAAAGGGAATAAAATGTGCCCAAAATGGCTCCCAAAGTGTGCCCAAAATGGCTCCCAAAGCATGCCCAAAATGGCTCCCAAAGTGTGCCCAAAAAGGGAATTAAAGCGTACCCAAAATGGCGCCCAAAGTGTGCCCAAAAAGGGAATAAAATGTGCCCAAAATGGCTCCCAAAGTGTGCCCAAAATGGCTCCCAAAATGTCCCCAAAACAGCTCCTAAAGTCTGCCTAAAATGGCGTCTGTAGTGCTCTCAAAATGGCAGCCAAACTGTCCCACAGAAAGGGACAAAATGGCAGCCAAAGAGGCCACAAAATGGCTGCCAAAGAGTGCACCAAAAAGGCATTTAATGTCCCCAAAAAGGGACTCAAAGTGTGCCCAAAATGACCACCAAAACGTCCCCAAAATGTCCCTCAAAATGGCGCCCAAACCGGCATCCTAAATGGTCCCTAAAAAGCCCCACAATGTCCCCAAAAAAAAATTAAAGCGTACCCAAAATGGCGCCCAAAGTGTGCCCAAAAAGGGAATAAAATGTGCCCAAAATGGCTCCCAAAGTGTGCCCAAAATGGCTCCCAAAATGTCCCCAAAACAGCTCCTAAAGTCTGCCTAAAATGGCGTCTGTAGTGCTCTCAAAATGGCAGCCAAACTGTCCCACAGAAAGGGACAAAATGGCAGCCAAAGAGGCCACAAAATGGCTGCCAAAGAGTGCACCAAAAAGGCATTTAATGTCCCCAAAAAGGGACTCAAAGTGTGCCCAAAATGACCACCAAAACGTCCCCAAAATGTCCCTCAAAATGGCGCCCAAACCGGCATCCTAAATGGTCCCTAAAAAGCCCCACAATGTCCCCAAAAAAAGGACTCAAAAGTGCAACAAAATGGCCCCAAAAATGGTCCCAAAATGATCCACAAAATATTCCCAAGAAAATGATTCAAAATATTCACAAAATGGCCCCCAAAATCGTGCCTAAAATAACCCCCAAAATGTCCCCAAAAAGGGACTCCTAAAATGGCTCCCAAAATGTCTCCAGAATGTCCCAAAATGTCCCCAAAATGTCCCCAAAATGTCCCTCACCTTGGCTGCTGTTGGGGACAGAACTTTCTTCTTCTTTTTGATTTTGATTCCAGGGACGGGCGCTGAGTTCAGGGCGTCCAGGAACCCGAGGCCTTCCATGGCTGGGGGAGCGCAGAGAAGTCACCAAAAAACCCCAAATTCACCCCAAAATGGCTCCCAAACCTGCCCTAAAAAGGATCCCAAAAAACCCGAATTTCACCCCAAAACGGGTCCCAAACGTGCTTTGAAATGGTGCCCAAATCTGCCCTAAAAAGGATCCCAAAAAACCCCAAATTCACCCCAAAACGGGTCCCAAACCTGCCTTGAAATGGTGCCCAAATCTGCCCTAAAAAGGATCCCAAAAAAACCCAAATTCACCCCAAAACAGCTCCCAAAACTGCATCAAAATGGTGCCCAAATCTGCCCTAAAAAGGATCCCAAAAATCTCCAAATTCACCCCAAAACGGGTCGCAAATCTGCCTCAAAATGGTGCCCAAATCTGCCCTAAAAAGGATCCCAAAAAACCCCAAATTCACCCCAAAACGGGTCCCAAACCTGCATCAAATGGTGCCCAAATCTGCCCTGAAACGGATCCCAAAAAACTCCAAATTCACCCCAAAACGGGTCCCAAATCCACCATAAAACGGCTCTGAAATCAGCCCAAAAAACCCCAAATTTTTCTCAAAATGGGACCCAAATCTGTCCCAAAATGGCATCCAGGTACCACCCAAAACCACCCAAAATGTCCCCAAAAACGACTTATCCCAGAATGAAACAGAAATGGCACCAAAATGACCCAAAATGGCACCAAAATGACCCCAAAATGAAACCAGAAATGGCACCAAAATCAGACCCAAAATGGCACCAAAATTACCCCAAAATGGCACCAAAAGAACCCCAAAATGGCACCAAAAGAACCCCAAAATGGCCCCCAGGTGTCCCAAAATGGCCTCCAGGTGTCCAAAATGCCCAAAATGTCCCAAAATGTCCCAAAATCGCGAAGCGGCCCCAAACTCACGCTGTGGGGGGATGATCTTCACTTTGATCTCCTTGGCCGCGTTCGGGGCCGTGTTCAGGGGTTTGTATTTCTTCTCTGCCAGAGGAGCCTCCCCGGGGGCTGTCGGGGCGCTGGGGGGAGGAAAAAGGGTCAGGACCCCCCAAAAACCACCCCAAAATCCCTGAGATTTCCCCCAAAACAGCCCTGAAACTGTCCCCAAAAATCTCAGAAGTGTCCCCCTAAAACGGCCCCAAAGTAGACCCAAAAGTGTCCCCAAAATTATCCCCAAAAAAGCCCTAAAATCACTCCTAAAATCACCCCAAACTTGGCCAAAATTTGCCCCCCAAAATGGTTCTGAAACCACCCCCAAAACAGCCCAGACACCCCCAAAAAACCTCCCCAAAAACCCCCAAACCCGCCCCAAAATAATCCTGAAATGTCTCCAAATCAGCCTTGAAACCGCCCAAAAATTCCCCCAAAAGCAGCTCTGAGGCCCCAAAATGGCTCTGAGACCCCAAAAATGGCCCAAAATCCCCCAAAATGGCCCCAAATCCCACCTCTGCCTCTTGACCGGGACAGGTTTCAGGCTGTATTTGTCAGACGAGGCCGAGTTTAATTTTTTCACCGGCACCAGCGACGGCGTCTCCAGCTCCAGCCCTGAGGGCAAAAAAGGGTTAAAAATCCCCAAACCAGCCCCAAAAATCCCCCAAACGTCTCAAAAACTCAACCCTAAAACGGCCCCAAATTGTTAAAATCCCAATAACGGAGGTTGAGCTCTGAATTCCCCAAAACCAGCCCCAAATTTGTCTCAAATCAGCCCAAATTTCACTGAGCCCAAATTCCCCAGCTTTAGCACAAATTCCCCAAAACAGCCCAAATTTCCCCAAATCAGCCCCAAATTCCCTTTAAACCAGTCCTAAATTCCCAAAAATCCACCCCAAACTCCCCTAAAACAGCCCGTATCACCCCAAAATAGCCCCAAATTCCCCAAACCAGCCCAAATTTTCCTTAAAACCAGTCCTGAATTCCCAAAAATCCACCCCAAACTCCCCTAAAACAGCCCAAACTCACACAAAATTCCCAAAACCAGCCTCAAGCTCCCTTAAAATCAGCCCTAAATTCCCAAAAATCCACCCCAAACTCCCCTAAAACAGCCCAAATGAGCCCCAAATCACCCCAAAATAGCCCTAATTCCCAAAACCAGCCCAAATTTCCCTTAAAACCAGTCCTAATTTCCCAAAAATCCACCCCAAACTCCCCTAAAACAGCCCATATCACTCCAAAATAGCCCTAAATTCCCCAAACCAGCCCAAATTTCCCTTCAAACCAGCCCTAAATTCCCAAAAATGCCCCCAAAATCCCGAAGCCCACCTGTGGAGCGGAACTTGGCGTGGCTGGGGGCCGTGGTCCGCAGGGATTTGGGTTTTTCCCGTTTCTTTTCAGGAATTTCCTCACTTTTGGCCTCGTTTTTGGTCTCCTGGGGCTTCTCCGGGACGGGAGTTTTGCTTTTGTTTTCCTCTTTCCTTTTCTTTTTGTCCCGTTCTGGGGTGGGAAAAGGGCAGGGAAAAGGGGTGAGGGGATTTCAGGGGGGATTTTGGGGTTTTTTGGGGAGAATTTCGGAGTTTTTTGGGGCTCACCTGTGGGCTGAGAGCTGCTCTGGGAGCGGATCACGCCCATCCAGTCGCTGACCAGGATGGAGGCCAGGCGGCGGAGCTCTGAGGGGTTAATTAACAATTAATCGCTAATTAATCAGTCATTAATCAAGCAGAGGATGGGGAGTAACACCTAGAGGTGGCTTGAGGGGGGATTTGGGGGTGTCCAAGGGCAGTTTTAGGGGATTTCAGGGGGGTTTTGGGGGTTTCAGAGGGATCTGTGCTGATTTTTGGGGTCCTGAGGGGTTTTGGGGGATCCCAGGGGGTCTCAGGGGGTTTTTAGGAGGTCTGAAGGGGATTTTTGGGGGGTCTCAGGTGGATTTTGGGGTCTGAGGGAGGTTTTGGGATTTTCAGAGGTTTTCTGAGAGATCCCAGGTGTATTTTGGGGAGTCTGAAGGGGATTTTGGGGTTCCCAGGGTTTTTGTTTTTGGGGTGCCTGTGGGGGGATTTTGGGGTTCTCAGGGTTTTTTTGGGGGGGGGTCTGAAGGAGATTTTGGGCTGTTTTGGGGATATATTTGGGATTTGGGGGGTGTCTGAGGGGTTTTTTTTGGGATCTGAGGTGGATTTTGGGGTCTGAAGGAGATTTTTGGGGATTCCCAGGGTGATTTTGGGGGTTCTCAGGGGGATTTTGGGGATTTTTGGGGGTCCCTGCTCACCCTCATCATCGCTGGACTTGCTGAGCTGCTTCACCAGCTTGGCCGTGTTGTTCTGCAGAGGAAACCAAGGGTCAGGGAGGGGACAAAGGGACACTGGGGACACCAAAGCCACCCCTGGGGGACCCGAGGGTGACACAAGCCCCAAGTGCCACCTGAGTGTCCCCCGGTGCCACCCGAGTGTCCCCAAAGCCCCATGAAGGGCTTTAAATGAGACAAAAATCGCTTTAAATGTGACAAAAATCCCTTTAAATGAGACAAAAATCGCTTTAAATGTGACAAAAATCGCTTTAAATGAGACAAAAATTGCTTTAAATGAGACAAAAATCACTCTGGAAGTGACAAAACCCACTGAGAGTCCTCAGGTGCCACCCGAGTGTCCCCAAGTGCCACCCGAGTGTCCCCAAAGCCTCTGGAAGGGCTTTAAATGAGACAAAAATCACTTTAAATGAGACAAAAATCGCCTTAAATGAGACAAACATTGCTCTGGAAGTGACAAAACCCACTCTGAGTGTCCCCAGGTGCCACCCGAGTGTCCCCAAAGCCCCATGAAGGGCTGTAAAAGTGACAAAAATCGCTTTAAATGATACAAAAATCGCTTTGGAGCGGGACAAAACCCACTCTGAGTGTCCCCAGGTGCCACCCGAGTGTCCCCAAAGCCCCATGAAGGGCTTTAAATGAGACAAAAATTGCTTTAAATGAGACCAAAATCCCTTTAAATGAGACAAAAATCACTCTGGAAGTGACAAAACCCACTGTGAGTGTCCCCAGGTGCCACCCAGGTGTCCCCAGGGCCAGACCTGCTTGAGGTGGTCCACGGTGAGCGGGAGGTGCTGCAGGGTGAGCAGCAGCTGCTGCAGGAAGGGGACGTTGTTGGCGGCCTTGGAGCCCGTCAGCCACGTGTTGAGCAGCTTGTAGCCCCCGATCCGGATGAACCTGAGGGGAAAAGTGGGGATTTTATCCAGATCCAGGCTGGAAAACCTGAATTCTGTCAAAATCTGCCAAAATTCACCAGAAATTCAAAAAAAACCCCGTCAAAATCGGCCAAAATCCGCCCAAAATAAAAAAAAAAATCAATTTTTCCACCTGATTACTAGGTCAGGATGACTCTGAGGGAGAAAATTGGGAATTTTATCCAGATCCAGGCTGGAAACCTGAATTCTGTCAAAATCTGCCGAAATTCACCCGAAATTCAAAAAAAATCCTGTCAAAATAAAAAAAAAAAATCCATTTTCCCACCTGATTACTAGGTCAGGATGAACCTGAGGGAGAAAAGTGGGAATTTTATCCAGATCCAGACATGAAAACCTGAATTCTGTCAAAATCTGATTAAATCCACCCGAAATTCAAAAAAAACCCCATCATAATTGGCCAAAATCCACCCAAAATAAAAAAAAAATCAATTTTTCCACCTGATTACTAGGTCAGGATGAATCTGAGGGAAAAAAGTGGGAATTCTGTTCAGATCCAGACAGGAAAACCTTTAATTCATAAAATTTCACCTGAATCCACCCAAAATAAAAAAAAATCCCATCAAAAATCCACGTAAAATTCACTTTTCATGTGGTTACTAAGCCAGGATGTGTCTGAGAGAAAAAAATGGGAATTTTATCCAGATCCAGAAAGGAAAACCTGAATTCTGTCAAAATCTGATGAAATCCACCCGAAATTAAAAAAAATCCCAGTCAAAATCTGCCTAAATCCACCTGAAATAAAAAAAAATTAAAAAAGAAAAAATCCATTTTTCCCTGCCCTTACGTGGCCTGAGGATGAAATCTGAGGGAAAAAAGTAGGAATTTTGGAAAGATCTGGCTGGGAAAACCACAAACCCACCCAAACCCACCCAAAATCCTCTCCAAAATTCCATTTTTCCCTGTGCTTACTTGGCCTGAGGATGAAATCTGAGGGAAAAAAGTAGGAATTTTGGAAAGATCTGGCTGGGAAAACCTCGAACCCACCCAAATCTCCCCAAAATCCCCTCAAAATCCCATTTTCCCCTGTGCTTACTTGGCCAGAGGATAAAATGTGAGGGAAAAAATTTGGAATTTTGGAAAGATCTGGCTGGGAAAACCTCAAACCCACCCAAACCCACCCAAATTTCCCCAAAATCCCCTCAAAATCCCATTTTCCCCTGTGCTTACTTGGCCAGAGGATAAAATGTGAGGGAAAAAATTTGGAATTTTGGAAAGATCTGGCTGGGAAAACCTCAAACCCACCCAAACCCACCCAAATTTCCCCAAAATCCCCTCAAAATCCCATTTTCCCCGTGCCTACTTGTTGAGGATGTCCTGGGCCCGGGTCTGCAGGAGGATGTTCAGGTAAATGCAGCGGCTCACCATCTTCTGCGAGTCCTTCATGAGGCTAATTAGCAGTAATTAGTGACAATTAGCGGCCATCAACCCAAGGAAAGGGGGCAAAGGCTCCAGAAGTGGAGGATTTTGGGGTTTTACCTGAAGATTTTGGAGATGCCGTCCATGGTTTTGACCTCCCCATCCCGGCCCAGGAAACAATCGAGGCCCTTGAGGAGCTCCTTGGGGTCGATGGGGCCCGAGCCCATGGCAGGAACAGCCTGGAAAAAGGGAAAAAAAGGGAAAAAATGGGGAAAAAGTGGGGTTAGGAGTGGGGGGAGAGGCGGGAAAATAAGGGTGTGTAAAAATTCTGGGGGTGAAATGAGAAGTGAGAGCAAAATTGGCAAGAAAAAGAGGGAAATGGGCTCTAAAAAGGAGGAAATTGACCTCAAAAAGGAGGGAAATGACATAAAATATGGAGAAATTGAGCCTAAAAATTAGAAATTTATATTAGAGGATGAAAAGCGAGCCTAAAAAAGGGAAATAAACCCAAAGAAGTGGAGGACAACTCCAGAAAATTCAAGAAATCAACCTGAAAAAGAAGGAAATAAAAGCTAAAAGGCAAAATATGGATCTCAAAATGAGGGAAATTAACTCCAAATGCTGGAAAAACACATCAAAACACTGGAAATAACCCTAAAAATGTGGGAATCAGCCCCAAAAAGCTGGAAATAGGCCTCAAAAAGCTGATCACCAGCCCCAAAAGCTGGAAAACAACCCCAAAACCACCGAATTCTGCCCCAAAATGGAGGAAAACCGCCCCAAAAAGCTGAAAATCAACACCAAAACCTGGAAATCGATCTTAAAACCGGGAAAACCACCCCAAAAAGCTGGAAAACACCACTAAAAAAAGGGAAAACAACACCAAATAAATGGGACATCGACCTCAAAGAGCTGCAAATCGCCCCCAAGATGGAAAAGAGCTTTAAAAAGCAGGAAACTGCCCCCCAAAAAGCTGCAAATAGGCCCCAAAAAGCAGGAAAATCACCCCAAAAAGCTGGAAATCGACCCTAAAATGATGGAAAACCACAAGAAAATTGAGAAGTCAAAGCCAAAAGCGGGAAATCAACTCGAAAACCTCCGAAATGCACCCAAAAAAAGCTGGAAAATGACCCCAAAAAGCTGGAAAATGACCCCAAAAAGGGTCCCAGGGACCCCCAAGGGACCCAGGGGGACTCACAGCCCCCCCCTCCCCCTCTGATGTCATTTCAATTAGCTCGTTTATTAATTAATAAGTAAATGAGTTAAAGTATTAACCCTGGGGATGAGGATTTGGGGTCACACCGTGGGGGGGACACAAACCCTGAGCTCCCTCCCCAATCAAATTTTTAATTTAAAAGTGAATTAAACCCATTCACAAAAAAATAAGAGACAAAAAGCTGTCATTATCACCAGTTCTCCCTCATAATTTCATTAATTTTTTGTTAATTAACGAGCAGAACAGAGTCCAGGGGGGGCTTTCCAACCATAACCCTCCCCCAGGTTAATTAACCAGGGGTTAATTAACGAGCTGCCACCTAAGGAGGGGCCACATTTGGGGGTGTCACATCCCCCCCCAAGCTCAGGCCATAATTAAACCCTCTGACTAACGAACCAACCATTAATTAACACCTCATTAATGAAGGCCAAACCCCCCCTTAATGACCCGACGCTCATTGACCCCAATCCGGGTCCCCTCCCCCCCTTCCTGGGGGGGGTTTCAGGCTCTGACATCATTAATCACCGCTAATTAAGGCTTAATTATGACCCAGTTTCCTTAACGAGGGCAGGGGGAGGAGCTGGGGAGGTTTTTTGGGGTTAAAACCTCTCAAAAATCTCCATTTTTGGGGTGAAAAATCGCAGTTTTTGGGGTGGGGGCTGCACCCAGAGCTGGGGGTCATTAAGAGTTCCACCACCCGCTGCTAATTAATTAAAGGGTACAGCCCTTAATAAAGCGATTAATTAAGGGGGGGGTCTGCAAAGACACAAGAAAAAGTTAAAGCAACACAAAACCCCCAAAAAATCCCCCCAAAAATGAGGGGGGAATCCCAAAAATTGGAGATTTAACCCCAAATTCTCACTGTAACCTTTGACCCCCCCCAAAAATGAACAGGGGGGACACAAAGCCCCCCCTGGAAGGGGTCCCAGCAGTGGGGGAGGGGAAAACCCCCTCCCCAAAAAGATCTTTGGGGTTCCCCCCCTCATTTTTGGGGTCTGCCCCCCTTAAAGGAGTTGGGGGTCCCCAAAAGTCCCCCAAAAAAAGGGGAAAATCCCATTTTTTTTGGGGGGGGGGACAATTCCCAGCTCATTAAATGGAGGGGTGGGTCAAGGCCTGACCCCCCCTCCCCAGAATTGGGATTTACAGCATTTTTGACTCGTTTTACCCCCAAAAAAGGGATTTTTTTTGGGGGGGAATTTAAGGGAGGGGGCTGCCTGTGCCCCCCCCAATAGGAAATGCTACCACTGGGGAGAAAAGGGAGGAATTTGGGGGGAATTAATGCCAAATAAATGGGTTTATTTCTCAAAAAATCTGAATTCTCAGGAGGGATCTCTGTGCTTTTTACCCAAATCCGTGAAATTTTTGGGGATAAAAAAGGAGGAAAAGCCCAACTCCCGACTGCCGCATGCACCAGGAGAGGGAAAAGGGGGAAAAAAAGGGAATTTTGGATGTTTGAAAACCCTGCATCCAAAGGCCGTGAAATGGAATTAAGCCCAAAAAACAAAAAAAAACGAAAAAAAAACCAAAAAAAAAAAAAAAAAAGGATTTTTTTGCTTACCCGGGTTGTGGCTGTTCCCTCCCTTTGCTGAAGTAAAGCTTCCTAAGCTGCAAAAACGGGGCAAAACCATTGAAAATCGGGAAAAAAATGGAGTTTTGGGGGTGTTCTCCCTCCCAAAATTCCGATTTTTTTTTTTTGGTTTTTGGTTGGTTTTGGTGTGTGTGAGGAAAGGGGGGTGAAGCCCAGTGGTAGCATTTCCCTGTCACGATAAATTCAAGGTTATCAAAGGCTCCAGGACACTCCCAAATTCCCCAAAACCCCCCTGAAATCCCCAAAAAAAGCAGGAAAAGGGAATAGAGAGAAAAAAAAAAATCCTGTGGAAAAAAGCAAATAAAAAGAGGATTTTGTGGGTGGAAGGGGGGGTTAAAAAAGGGATTTTAGGGGGAAAAAAAGAGATTTGAAAGGTAAAAAATGCAATTTTAAGGGGGGCCCCACAGTGGGAGGGGCATCAACAACGAGGCCTCGGCGCCATTTTAGAGCTGGGAGAAAAAAAAAAACCAAATTCGGGGGTTTCAAAGGAATTTTTTAGGCATTTTTGAGGAATTTTGGGGGGTTTAAAAAGGGGGGGAACACACAGATACGAGAGACAAAGAGAACTGTGTTAAACCCCCTTTACCCCCCCCCCCCGCGCACGAAAAAATGCTAAAAATCCCCCAGGATTGGGGTTAAACCCCCCCCAAAATTAAGGAATTTAAAGGGGGGGGGTTAAGAAATAACCGGGGGGGTCAGAGCCGGAATAAAAACCCGCGAAGGCGCGGAATAACGAGGGGAAAAAACGCGAATTTGGGACAAACAAAGAGCGGCCGCCATTTTGGAGCTGCCCTGAAAGGCTCTGAGGGGAAGGGGGGGGGGAGAACTTTAAACTCAATTTCTGAGGGAAAAAAAGCAGAATTTGGGAAAAGCTCGGCCTGCCTAGCAATCTTTATTGCTAGATTGCGACCCCCCCGGCCCCAATTTCACCCGAAACCCCAAAAATCCCCACCGAAAACCCAAATTTAACCTTCCCGCCCCCCCCCCCGCCACCCCGCGTTTCTCAGCGCAAAAAACAATCCTAAAATGGCACCTAAAAAATAAAAATAGGAAAGAAATCAGCTTTTTTTTGTCCAAATTTCCAACCTTCCCCCCCTCCCCTCCACGCGCGGATTTTTCCTCCCTTTCCCCCTCCTTTTCTTTGATTTTTTTTTCTATTTTTTTTTGCAATCTTTATGTACAGATTGCTCGCCGGGAATGCCCCGAAAATTCCCCAAATTCCCCGAATTCCGTCTCCCCCACCGCGCGATTTTTTTTTTGCGGGATTTTTTTTTTTTTTTTTTTTAAACCGTGGGAGCTGCTCGTGGACCCCTCCTCCTCCTCCGAAACCGCTCTTTTCTCCCGAAATCCCCCCAAAATTTCCATTTTCACCACCTTTAGGCACAGCCCACGTCCTCCTCAAGCACACGGGGGGGCTCTTCCTCCCATTATTTTTGCTCTTTGTGACAAATAACTTGTTAAAGGGTTTTTTTCTTGTATTTTTTAAAGGGTAGGGGGGGAGCCTGCTGAAAATTCAACACTTACTATCCAATTTTTTTTCTCAGCCGACAGCGCTTCAAGGTTTGGATTTTGGCATTTGGAGGTGGTGTTAGAGCCAAAAAATTCGTTTGATTTTAATCATGGCTTTAAAAAAAACGCAGCAACTTTTTTTTTGCAGCTTGACGGGTATTTTGGGGTTTTTTTAAAGTTTTTTTTTTTTTTCCCTTGGGTTTTGTTTGTTTTTTAAAGCCCTAAAGGAGTGGATCGAGCTAAACTGAAAACCAAAAAAAAAAAAAAAAAAAGAAAAAAAAAAAAAAAGTTGTTTGGGTTTTTTTTTTTTTTTCTGCTCGAAAAAAAAAGTGGGTTTTGCCTTTGTTTTTTTGGGGGAAAGAAGAGGGAAATATGTTTTTTAAAGTGGCAGTTTCCTTCGGGTTTGGAACGGCTTCCAAGGACGGTCCAAAGGACGGAGAGGCTGCGGCGGCTCTTCACGGCAAAGGGGGAGAGAAAACCTGGTTTTTTCCTTCCCCTCTTTGTTGTATATATATATTTTTGTTGTTTTGTTCGCGTTTTGTATTGTATTTTGTATTGTTTGTATTGGTTTTTTCTCTCGTGGTAAAGGCGACGGCGTCTCTCAAGACCAACCAAACCTGGAGCGGGGGAAAGGAAAAATAAAAGGGGGGGAAGGTGGGGGATGGGCATAACGACAAAAAAAAAAAAAAGGAAAAAAAATTGAAAAAAAGAAATTAGAAGCGAAGAAGAAAAGACACGAAACTATTAGAAGCTGTTATCCCCGGGGAGAATTTAAAGCTTTAAAGGGGGGAAAAAAGGAAAAAAAAATAACGAGGAAACGCCCTTGGAAGGGTGGGGGGGGCTCAGCTCTGAGGGGACGTGAGGGCGGCGGCGGCCCCGGAGGGGCTCTGGGAAGGGGCAAGCCGCGTTTTTCCCCACACAAACGATGCTTGGCGTTTCAAAAGCCCCCCAAAGCTAAAAAAAAAAAAACGGGGAAAAAAACTCCCCCGCGCCCCCTGCCCCGCCCGCAAAGCCCCGGCCCAGCACAGCTCTTTACTCACCTCCACCAGCCCTCAGAATGGCGGCGGCACCGCCGGGCGCGGCTTTTTATACCCGGCCACGCCCCGCGCTTCGCCACGCCTCCTACCGCTCGCCGGTCACGCCTCCCGTCCGTTGAGCCGCCCAACGGCGCCTGCGCGGGTTCAACACTGCGCACGCGCGTCTGCCGCCCGCCATTGTCCGCGGGCCGTGTGGCGCAGTTTTAATTCGGGGAGGGCGGGGGGAGGGCGTTGCGCATGCGCGGCCGCCTGAGGGTGAGGGGCGTGACCACGCGGCAAGATGGCGGCGCCCCGCCCCGTCGTGAGGGAGAGGGGCGGGGCGGGGCGTGAGGGAGAGGCGGGAAGATGGCGCTGGCCTGGGCGGCGGCGGCGCTGAGGGCGGCGGGCGGCGTGAGGAGGCCGCGGTGGGCTCAGGTGAGGGCGAGGAGCGGCGGGAGGGGACACCGGGGATTTGGGGGAGGGGGGAGAAAATCGGGACGTGAGGGGGAAAGGGCAGCGCGCGCCACGTGCGGCGGCGGGGCGGGGCGAGTGACGTCATGGCGCGGCGGCGGGGTTTTTTTTCCCCCGCTAGGGAGCGCGCGGGTGCGGGCGAGGGGGCGTGTTTTAAATGAGAGCTTACGTCATTGCCCGCATTGCGGTGACGTCACATCGCTCTGCTGCCTGAGTGACGTCACAGGGAGCATTGCCCTCTGACGTCGGCACTGAGGTTTAGGCCATGAGAGGGAAGGGAGGGGGGGGGTGTGACGTCATCACTCTGGCAACAATTATGACGTCATAACCCCCTCCCCCAGGCCCTCCCCCGCCTCTGCAGCACCCAGGAGACCCCCAAGGACCCCCCGGCCGCCCCCTCCCCCTACCAGGAGCGGCCCTGGGAGTACCTGGAGAGCGAAGGTTGGTTTGTGTGGGGGCCTGAGGGCAGTTTTTGGGAATTTCGGCGTTCCCAAACCCCTCAAAAACCCCCCAAAAATGTCCCCGCGCAGAGTACCGGGCCACCTACGGGGACAGGCCGGTGTGGCACGGCTACCGGCGCAACCACAAGGGCTCCGTGCCCCCCCAGAGCACCCGCAAGGCCTGCCTGGTGAGCACTGGGAGCACTGGGAGGGCTCTGAGGGCATTTTGAGGGCTCTTGAGGCACCTCAGGTGCCATTTTGGGGGGCACTGGGACATTTTGGGGATGACTGAGGCCTCTCGATGGCACTTTTGGGGACACTGGGACAGTTTGGGGGTCACTGGGAGGCACTGGGATATTTTAGGGCTTACTGGGACTGACTGGAACTGCCCCACTCCCGTTCCCAGCGCCGGGGGAGGCCCGTGGGGAACCCCTGCCCCATCTGCCGGGACCGGAACCTGCTCGTGGATTTTCGGGTGAGTTCTGGCACTTTTGGGGGGCAAATTTGGGGGGGCTACATTGCCCCCCCATTCCATCTTTTCCTTCTGCTCCCCTTTTCCCTCTTTGTTACTCCCTTCCAGTTTTCTTTATAGTCTTTCCCTTTAGTTTCCCCCTTTTTAATTCCATTTTTACTCTCTTTTCACTCATTTTTATCCATTTAATCTCTTTTTAACCCCGTTTTCCCACCCTGCAGAACGTGAAGCTGCTAGACCAGTTCATCTGCCCCCACTCCGGCGTCATCTTCCACCCCATCCACACAGGTGAGGGCACACCTGAGTGTCACCTTTATGTCCTTGAGGTCACCTTTATGTCCCTGATGCCATCTCTGCGTGTCCCTGACCCCTTTTTCCCCTCAGGGATCTGCATGAAGCAGCACAAACGCCTCTCCCAGGCCATTGCCCAGGCCCAGGACCACGGTAAACCCCCAGCCCCGATTTTTAACCCTTCCCAACCCTGCCGGGTGCCCCCCAAACCCCTCAATTCCCCTTCTCCAGGTCTCCTGTGGCTGCAAGTCCCCTTTGTGCCGGTTCCTGAGGAGGATTTCTCCAACCAACACGCGGCCGTGGGCAAAACTCCCCCGGCGCCCGCGCTGAGGGGGCCGGGCCGGGCCTGGTACCCCTGGTACGAGTGGCAGCAGCCCCCTGCCACCGAGGTGGCTCGGATGCGCCGCTTGTACCGGGGATTCCTCAAGGAGGATTACCCGGATACGCCCCCAAGCCCGTCGGGGAAATAAAAATGTTTCAAATCCCCTAAAATTGGCGTTTTTCTCGTCAGGGAAGCTGGGGCACCAGGCCAAAATGGCGGCCGGGGCTGAAAAATGGCGGCGCGCTGTGGGGGAGTATATCCCACAATGCTTTGCGGGAAGGGGTGGATGCTTCCCTTCATGCTTTGCTGTGGCGCGAAAAGCGGGTTGCTAAGGAGGGCGGGGCTTGGTTGCTAAGGGCGGGAGAAGAGGCGGTGGCGATTGGGCGAGCAGGTGCCAGGGGTGGAGCTTAGTCCAGGAGAATATAAACGATTGGTTGAGGGGTTGCTAGGGGCGGGGCTCTATGGCTGACAGCGGAAGCGATTTGGCGGCGGTTGCTATGGGTGGGGTTTGATTGCTGAGGGCGGCTGCCATTGGTGAACGGTTGCTATGGGAGGAACTCAGTTGCTAATCGCTGTCAAATTGTGAGCAGCATTTGGCTGACGGTTGCTAAGGGCGGGACTCCGTTGCTTCAGACGGGCGCGGCCGCAGCAACGATTGGCTGACGGTTGCTAAGGGCGGGACTCCGTTGTTCAGCACGGCAGAACGGAGCGCACCGATTGGCCGGCGCTTGGCGGGCCGTGCCGCGATTGGCTGATTCCTCCCGGTGGGGGGCGTGGTTTCTTTGCCGCCCGGGCGCGGCCGTGGCGGTGGCGGCCGGGCCGGGCCCGGCGGGCGGAGGCGGCGGCGGTGCCGAGCCGGGCCCGGGGCTCGGAACGCGGGACTCGATCATGGAGTTCACTTTCGACCTGGCC